ATTAATTTTTTTTTTTTTTACAAACGGTTTTTTTATTTTTTAAAGGTAGTCTGTAGAAAAACAGTACAGTTTCACGTAATGCAAACAATAATAACAAGGTACATTTGAGAAGAACATTTCAGAAAAGTACATTTATGTAAGAAAGATAGATAAGGAAGAAAATGAAAGAGAATAGATTTTAAGTACATGAGAAATGGAAACAATAAAGTAGGCCGAATGACATATCTGTCAACAGTACATGCCAATCAACCTTCAAATGGAATGCTTTTAGTCAAGTAATAAATGTCTATGAACCCTCCATGATTCCCATTTTTTATCAAATGCATCTTGTCCAGCAAAGTATAATGAATACGCTCCATGAGAATCACAGCATCAACTCTATGTAAAACAGAGGCTAAGGGTACAATGATAGATTTCCAATGTAGGGCAATAGCCCACAAGGTGGCAATACAAATAGTAGGTATCAATTTCATAACAGCATCAAAAACCTCCTGGATACGAGTTCCCAATACTGTATAGTCAGATGTACCGGGACACCTACCAGTGAAGCAGCGACCTCAGATATCCTGCGCCAAACCAAGGATATGGTTGGGCAAGCCCAAAACGTATGAACCAAAGTACCTGTGAGGCCGCAGCCCCGGAAACATAAGGGAGACGTTTGTGGGTACAATACATGTAGTCTTGATGGGGTGTAATACCATCTGGTTAATACCTTGAGGGCCGTCTCACGAACATAAAGGGATCTAGAACACTTACATATGTTATCCACCATGGAGTCCCAATCCTCATCTGAAAAAGTGATACCACTATCCACCTCCCATTTTTGTCTATATAAAGGAGGTGTGGGAGAGAAGCTGATTAAAAATTGGTGATAAAGATCAGAGATAAGAACCTTACCCCAAGGAGAGTCACGGCTAATACGTTCAAAAAATGAAATCGGAGAAGAGGGTATGAGGCCAAAATGTGATTGAAAAAAGTGTTGAATCTGTTGATAACGATGGTACTCACAAAGCGGAACATCAAAAAGTACACACAGCATATCAAAAGTAATATAAGATCCTTCTCTTTGAAAGTCAGATAACTTAATAAAAGATCGATCATACCACCAACGGAATGTTTGAGGGGAAGAAAATGCCGTAATAAAGTTAGGATCACCAAAATACGAAACACCCGGAGAAACAGAAGAGACCAGATTTAATTTAAGTTTATAGTTGGACAAAGTGTCAACGAATGGGTCACTATAGAGTTGTAAAACGTTAACGATCGAGGGAGGATTTTGGACCACAAAATACCCGGTAAATAAAATGGGCGTATAGACTGAGATTCAAATCTAATCCACGGGATCTGAGAATTAACAGTCGCCCATTGTGATAATTGTGCAAAACGGGCTGAGAGGTAATATAACCCATGTGGAGCTTAAGCGTGACCACATCCCTCACAAATCACATTTTATTTGTTCATAGGTTATAAACACATTTTAAATGAGACGTATGGTCAAAGCTTTTTTGATCACTCTTCTCTCATCGGTCACAGGAGTGCACTTACTTACTGCCCTTCTGTGACCCAAAATCAGCTGAAAGCAATGTCACTGAGCCGCTCCAGGCTCTGGATGTATCAGGACAATAATGTCAGGATCCATCCAGATGCTGCTGATCAGGCTCAGCAGCTGAGAGCCTGAGCCAGCCACCCCTGTCCTCTTTCCTGCCCAGAGCTCCAGAGAGCACTGGAGGGGCAAAGCACAGAGCAGAACTGAGAACTGATCAATCAGATGTCACATGATCCCAAAAATTGGGAAGACCTAGACCTCCCGTCTGTTGTTAACAGTACAAAACAGATGAGATAAAACATGGGCGTTTATTATTCCAGATAAAATTATTAATAATCCGCTGAAAGTGATCTAGAATGTTTTCGAGACCGAGACTGGAAGTGCTCTAAATAGATAAAGTAGTTTAGGCAAAATGTTCATTTGACTGCCGTGGCTCTACCCAGAAAGGAAATAGGGTAACCATGCCAAATCTTCAATAGAGAAGAAAGGCGCGACACACATGGTGGGTAATTAGCAGCAAACATATCTGAGTATCTGGGAGTGAGATTAATACCCAAATAGGAAATTAATTAATTAATACCCAAATAGGAAATACGATCCATGGCCCAACGAAATGGAAAAGAACTACGGAGAGATGCACTTAGGGAATCAGGAACATTAACCTCCTCGGCGGTATGATTCTTTCTGATTTTTTGTGCTGAAAGCGGTACATTTTTTTGCATGGAAATATGTAGTTTTTTATTGTAGGCTGTAATTTTTAGGAATAACTCACTGAAATCTGTCCGAACAAGAGTCTAGTAAACATCCCGGGTAGGATAAAACTTGAAACACGAAATCATAAATTATAATTTAATAAATAATCATAAAAAAAAATAATAATATAATAATAATACATTTAATTCAATAATATAATCAAACCAAAAACACTGAAATTTGAAATACAGAGGCAAATTCGCACATCGCTGAGCAAAGTCGTAAAATTGTTTTCAGTGTCTGATGAGGAATTTCCCCACAAATCATTATCACTCAATTCTGCAAGTGGTTCTGATTTACTATCGCTGTTCTAAAACCGCTTTTGACGTAAAGGGACGCTTTTTGGACGCCGTGGACTTTTCTAAGTTTCCAGGCAGAAAGAACAGTCAAAATGCAGGCAGGGCACGGACAAAGCAGTAGGGACAAAATGTATGTGAAATGCATTGAAACAGCAATGACAGCAAAAATGAAATTTTAAAAAATTTCAAATTTCCCGCCGGTTCCGGCGCCCGTACGTCCCGACGTCACAGGGACCGGAACACAGAAGCCGGATGCCGGCATCGGTCGGAGGAGATGGCCGGGGACGCTGCAGGGGACACATCGCAGGAGCGAAGGACAAGGTAAGTGCTGCAGGGATTCCCTGAGCAACGCTGCATGGTAAGCCCGAGTGTAGCTCGGGGTTACCGCTCTTGGTACTCAAATTTTACCCCGAGCTGCACTCGGGATTACCACTAAGGAGGTTAACAGGCATAATCACTGATTTGGTAAAATTAACAGTAAGACCTGACGCCATAGCAAAGTCGTTCAATACCGTGCATAGATTAGGCAAGAAAGTTAACGGGTTAGTGAGGAAAAGCATAACATCCTCAGCATACATGCATATTTTGAAATGTGAAACTAATAATGGATAACCAGCGCAAACAATAGGGGTGAAAGAGGACAGCCCTGACGGGTACCTCTACCCAATGTAAAGAAGTCAGAGTTACAGCCGGGAAGATTTATTCTCCTTTTAGGAGAGTCATATAGGGCGTGTATACCAGATAAAAACTCATTCTCTGCAGCAATGAAAACAAGTAAGGCCAAAGGACACTATCTAAGGCCTTGTTAACCACTTCCAGTCCGGACACTTTCACCCCCCTTCCTGTCCAGGGCAATTTTCAGCTTTCAGCGCTATCACACTTTGAATGACAATTGCGCGGTCATGCAACACTGTACCCAGATGAATTTTTTACCATTTTTTTGAGACAGATAAAACTTTATTTTGGTGGTATTTATTCACCGCTGAGATTTTTTATTTTTTTTTGCTATGTGAATGAAAATGTCCAAAAATTTTGAGAAAAAAGTGTTTTGCAAATAAATAATATTTCATCATAAATCTTGGCCAAAATTTATTCCGTTATCTTTTTAGTAAAAAAAAAAAAAATAAGCCAAATTAGTTTATAACCAAAAATTATAATTTTTAAACATTTTTTTTTTTACATTTTTATTTTTTTTTATATTATTATTTATTTTTACATACTGTCACCCTAGCAGTACAGTGTCACCATGGTGACACTGTACTACTTTTGGGGGTTGATGAAGATTTGTTTTTTTTTGTTTTTTTACACTGATTGCTTTTACACCCATATAGGATGTAAAAGCAATCATTTCTCTTTCTCTCTGTCTGCATTCATGCAGCCATTGCGAACTATTAAGTGAGCTGTGATTGGTCACAGCTTGTCACATGGTACAAGGCTGTTGTGAATAGCCCTGTACCCTGTGGCCTCTGTGATCATTCACAGATTTCACACGTGGTAAGCAATGATGTCACAAGTGACATCTTGCTTACTACTTTGCATGTGATCACTGATTGGCCAATCAGTGATCACATGATTGGGACCTCGCCCAGAGGTCCCATCCGACGATCGGTGTTTCACTGTGTCTGGAGGACAAAGCGGGCACCGGATCGCAGTGCTGCGCGCTCCCAGGGAGCGCACACAAGCAGGGTGTGGGGAGGCCGTTTATAAACATTTGTGCTCTTGTGGAGTTCTGATTGGAATTTAGCGGCCAGCTTGGTGTACATAGTTTCCAGGCAAGATTCCAAGTCCCCCTTTGTAGGTTGCTGTGCACATTCATTGTCCTGAGTTAATGGATGAGCTGCGGTATCCTGCGTGGGATCAGATGGGGATGCTCGTTCTGTATCTTGAGACATGTTGCAAATCTTGTGAGTTTTAACCACTTGCCTACCAGGCACTTATACCCCCTTATTTACCAGGCCAATTTTCAGCTTTCAGCGCTGCCGCACTTTGATTGACAATTGCGCGGTCATGCAACATTGTACCCATATGAAATTTTGATCATTTTTTTCTCACAAATAGAGCTTTCTTTTGGTGGTATTTAATCGCCACTGGGCACTTTACTTTTTGCACTATAAATAAAAAAGGTGCAAAAAATTTGAAAAAAAAAAAAAAGTTTCTTTGTTTCTATTATAAAATTTTTCAAACAGGTAATTTTTCTCCTTCACTGATGTGCGTTGATGAGGCAGCACTGATGGGCACTGATGGGCACTGATAGGCAGCACTAAAGGGCACTGATAGGCAGTACTAATGAGGTGGCACGGATAGGCGGCACTGATAGACAGCACTAATGAGGTGTCACGGATAGGCGGCACTAATATGCAGCACTGATAGGCAGCACTGATAGGTGACACTGATGATGGGTACTGATAGACGGCACTGACTGGCATCACTGCTGGGCACTGACTGGCGGCACTGACTGGCACAACCGCTGGGCACTGACTGGTGGCACTGACTGGCAGCACTGCTGGGCTGCACTGGTGGGTGGCACTGGTGGGTGGGCACTGGTGGGTGGGCACAGGTGGGTGGCACTGGTGGGCACAGGTGGGTGGGCACAGGTGGGTGGCACTGCTGGGCACAGGTAGGTGGCACTTCTGGGCACAGGTGTGACACTGCAGAGTGGCACAGGTGGATGCACTGCTGGGCACAGGTGGGTGCACTGCTGGGCACAGGTGGGTGATCTGCTGGGCACAGGTGGGCGGAGTTAGTGGGCGCACTGCTGGGCACAGGTGGGCGGAACTTGCGGGTGGAACTGCTGGGCACCGATCATCAGGGCACTGATCATCAGTGCCCTGATGATCGGTGCCGATCCCCGCTCTGACAACTGCCGGTTCTCGGCAGTACTTTCCTCACGATCTGACAGCGTGAGGAAAGTGCAGCCGAGAACCGGCACTTGCATTTCCCTCTGATCAGCGTGTCATTGGACACCGCTGATCACGTGGTAAAAGGCCGCTGTGATTGGCCTTTTACCACATCACGTGATCAGCTGTGTCCGTAGGACACAGCGATCACGGAGATCGCCGGGTGCGCGCCCCCTGGGGCGCGCAGGAGAGCGTGTTCTGGGGGGACGTCATATGACGTCCACTCAGAACTGGCCGGCCGCAGTGCAGCCGTCATTCGGCTATCTGCGGTCGGCTACTAGTTAAGTAGGTATGTCGAAAGGGACTTTTGAGCTTTCCCCTACTTTTTTTTCTTGGTGGACGGCATATAGGAAGTCTCTTGGGGGCAATCCGCTGAAAATTAGATAGCCAAGGAAGATAATAACCCCAGGAGACCTATAACGCCCTAAGCAGGTGTATGTTATAGTTACATGGATGTGGTCAGGCACATCAGCAAGATCTTTATATTGTAAAAATTATTATTAAGCCGTGGGGATGCAAAGTGGACAGAAGCTGCAGCAGGCTCCCCCAACAAGGCCAAGGATCCAGAAGCTGGCTCCAACTCCCACCATAGGGTCCGACAGGGCCAAGAATTCTATGCGCCACAGAGTTCACTATATACCGGCTCCAGGGTCCTCCAGGACGATGTAGGGAGCCCAGGAATCTCAATGGCCTCAGCACGCAGGGTACAACAAGCCTCCGGGCCAAAAGCGAACGCATGCATCGGTCACGCACGCAAACAGTTTACCAGGGGCGGACTGACAACTCATGGGGCCCCTGGGCAATAGGGGATCATGTGGCCCCTGTGTCCTTGCCCAAACTCAAAAAAGTCTATGAAAAAGGTACCAGGGGCATCTCATGGGGCCCCCTACTGACCCCGAACCCTCGGGCAGTGCCCGAATTTCCAAATTGTCAGTCCGCCCCTGCATCCTACACATGTGAGGTATCACCGTGAACATCAGGTCACGGGCAGTAATTCTAGCACCAAACCTCCTCTATAAATCTAAAGTGGTAACCTGTAAAGGCTTTTAAAGCATTGCCAATGGATAGTAAAATTTACGTTGATTGTCATCATTGCACAGGCGGGCGCAGTTTTAAAGTGTAACATGTTTGGTATCTATTGATTCGGCATAACATCATCTTTTATGTTTTTCAAAATAAATAATTGGGTTATGTATTGTGTTTTTTGCATTAAAATTAAAATTGTGTTTGAAAAACTAGTGCACAAATACCATGTGACATTAAAAAAAAAAAAATAGCAAATCCCACCAATTTATTCTCTAGGGCTTCTGCTTAAAAAAAAATATGTAATGTTTTGGAAGTTATTTTCTTTAAAAAAAAAAAAGATGGTTTCCTGTGATCTAAAAATTGACAGAAAAGCCTGGATAATAATGATAATTGGTGAGCATATAGACCCCACGCACATATGACACCAGCAGGGGCGGACTGACAACAAATGGGGCTCATGGGAGCCTGTGTCCTTGCCCAAACTCAAAAAAGCCTATGAAAAAGGTACCAGGGGCATCTCATGGGGCCCCCTGCTGACCCTGGGCCCTCGGGCAGTGCCGAGGTTCCAAATGGTCGGTCCGCCCCTGCCTCCAACACAAGCTTTCTACCACCTGCTGTCCGGAGCACCGAATATACCCCCCCCCCACACACACACACACAACTGACATAGGTCTACCTCCCCCTGTTGGACTCATGCTTCAAGTTGCAGTGGCTCAAAACCGCCATTAGATGTCAGTATACTACAAGAAAAAATGATAACCTCATGTAGTGCATTACAAGAAATAAAAAAAAAATATTATTATTATTATTATACAGGATTTATATGTTATTATTATTATTATACAGGATTTATATAGCGCCAACGGTTTGCTCAGCACTTTACAATATAAGGGAGACAGTACAATTACAATACATTTCAGTACAGAAGGAATAGGAGGGCCCGGCTCATGAAGAGCTTACAATCTAAAGGAAGGGAGAGGCGATACAAAAGGTGATAGCTGTGGGGGATGGTCTGGTGGAGGTGATTCAAACACAAATTCAAGTTCAAATGTATGAAACTGGAGCTGAACACTCTCCGCCTGAAATTGTAACATTTCACTGCAACCAGGGCTGCTGTTAGAAACCATGGGGGCCCCATACAGCCAACCTGACAGGGCCCCCCATAAAAAAAAAAACCCCACACGGTTATGAATGAACACAGTGAGTGATTGGTACTGATCACTCATTGTGTTAATTCAGGGAAGGGGCTGGTAAATGGGACATATTTACAGACCCATCCCTCACTCTCCATCCTGAAGGATCCTATTGCGTGCTTGCAGCTGCCAATAGGAAAGAGAGGAGGGAAGCTGATAATACTGTGGGAGTAGGAGCACACAGGGGGCCCTGGGCAGCAGGGAGAAACTTATGGTGCACAGGGAGGGTGATCATCGGGTGCAGAAGGAGGCAATTACTGGAACAGATCCCCTGTATGGTGTTCTCTGCAGCAGCTGAAAGCCAGCAGGAGGGAGAAGAGAAGAGGGCAGCTTTCAGCTGCTGCAGAGAGAGCCATACAGGGGATGGTTCCAGTAATTGCCCCCCACCAGGCTGATCACCCTCCCTGCCCACAATCGATTCACACAGCTGCCTGGGTACCCTGCTGGCTTGGGTCCCGTACAAGAGGACTGGTGGTACCCTCCCCACAGCCTGACTACAACACAACATACACTATATTGCCAAAAGTATTGTTGGCCTGCCTTTCCAAGCACATGAACTCTAATGGCCCCCCCCAGTCTTAGTCCGTAGGGTCCAATATTGAGTTGGCCCATCCTTTGCAGCTATAACAGCTTCAACTCTTCTGGGAAGGCCGTCCACAAGGTTTAGGAGGGTGTCTATGGGAAGGTTGGACCATTCTTCCAGAAGTGCATTTGTGAGGTCAGGCACTGATGTCGGGGGAGGAGGCCTGGCTCACAGTCTCTGCTCTAATTCATCCCAAAGGTGTTCTGTGGGGTTGAGGTCAGGACTCTGTGCAGGCCAGTCAGGTTCCTCCACCCAAAACTGGCTCCTCCATGTCTTTATGGACATTGATTTGTGCACATTTGTGAAATTAGAATTAAATTTGAAAAGTATCGAAATCGGCATTCAAATTCGACTTTATTCTATTCAGAATATAAATTTCTAAGGAACTGTTATATTCTATTTTATTCTATTCTGCTGTTATTCTATGCTATTCTATTCTTTTATATTCTTTTATTTTCTATTCTATTCCTTTATTTTCTAATCTATTCTATTCTGTTCTTGTTTACTCTATTCTTTACGATTCTATTCTGTTTTATTCTTTTCAAAATTCAAATTTCAGAAAGTGGCTATATTTTATTTTATATTAGAATATGAAGGAATTGAATAGAAAAAAATACAACAGATTAAATAATTAGATGAAAAAAATAGAATAGATTAGAATAAATACACACAGGATTCATCTCCCATGATCAGTTGACTCAAAAAATCAGGCTTTCTTTCCAAAACGGGCCAACAGGGCTTGGCAAACGAGTTGATGGTGTTCCTTCTGATCAGACGACAAGTTCTTTGGAACAAGATTTGCACACACAGTTCTCATGTTTAAATCCTGAGACCTGGGTTCATGAACAATTGACTTGGTAATTCCTGTTTCCTCTGCAATCATTCTGATAGTGAGCCATCGGTCACGGTCAGCGGCGGACTGACCATTTGGAAACTCGGGCACTGCCCGAGGGCCCGGGGTCAGTAGGGGGCCCCATGAGATGCCCCTGGTACCTTTTTCATAGGCTTTTTTGAGTTTGGGCAAGGACACAGGGGCCCCATGATCCCCTATTGCCCGGGGGCCCCATGAGTTGTCAGTCCGCCCCTGGTCACGGTTGCGAACAGACCTCACTGTATCCACATTCTGTTCTGTTTTTGATGAAGAGGGGTGTCCTGATCGTTGTTCATCTTTAACATCTTCTCATCCTTCCTTGAAGGCCTTGTTCTATCAGTATTCTTGTGCAGATGGTAGTGCAGCTTCTCCATAAGCTTTCCTCACCTTTCCAGTTTCTGATGTACTTTTCCCCAATTTCACACAAAATGTTATCGTGTACCGCTGTTCCAAACTTGCTGGCATTTTTCCTAATACAAGGCACTTGGACAGGGTGTCACCAAAAAGAATGTCTGGACTCTGACAGGGATGGAATACAACTGATCAGTGTTCTCATGTATACCTGACACCCCACCCCAAGTGACCTTGGCCAGTTTCCTTGGTCTTCTCAAGTGTAGGAAATTCATTCTCATTATATTCTGGACACACCTCATATAGGACAAAATTGAAGTCTGAACTTTTTCATGTGCTCAGCAATTCTTCTGGGATTCTGCAGAGTATATACAGTGCATGCCAACAGATCAGACTTTTTAACCACTCTCTTGTCCGCCTCATGTATATAAACGGCCGGACGGTGGCAGTGCAGGGTCAGGTGGTCGTTTATAAATGGCCTCCCTGCACCCTGCTTGTGCGCGCTCCCTGGGAGCGTGCAGCACCGTGATCCGGTCCCCGCTGTGTCCTCCAGACACAGTAGAACACCGATCGTCGGATGGGACCTCTGTGTGAGGTCCCGATCATGTGATCACTGATTGGCCAATCATTGATCACATGCAGAGTAGTAAGCAAGATGTCACTTGTGACATCATTGCTTACTACGTGTGAAATCTGTGAATGATCACAGAGGTCACATGGTACAAGGCTATTCACAACAGCCTTGTACCATGTGACAAGCTGTGACCAATCACAGCTCACACAGTAGTTCTCAATGGATGCAAGAATGCAGCCAGAGAGAAGGAGAAATTATTTCTTTTACAGCCTTTATGGGTTTAAAAGCAATCAGTGTAAAAGAAAAAAAAAAAAATCTTCATCACCCCCCACAAGTAGTACAGTGTCACCATGGTGACACTGTACTGCTAGGGTGACAGTATGTAAAAAAAAAAAACATAAATAATAATATAAAAATTAAAAAATGTAAAACAAAATG